CAGTATACTAAAGCAGTATACTACAGCTAAAACTGACAAAAATGTTTATGTGGTACTATGGTTGTACTTTACCATTTATACATTATTTAATGGCCTAGTTTAAAGTCTAATAGGTATTTGAGTATCTCACTAACAAAAGGTTATGTGATGTGGAACAGTTTTCGTGTAATTTGTGGTTTTTATAGTTTGGCAGAGGGTTAGAGGCTAAAAAATGTTAGGTTGTTACTTTAACTTAACCTAGATATTTATGCTTTAGAACTGAGTGTTTTGTTTTTAAAAACCCTTTTTCATGTCTTCGATAAAAATAAGGTCATAGTACAAACATTACCTTCTTGATGTGTCATACTTCAAAATAATGATACGTTCGAATTCGTCAAAATTTCGAATAGGTATTAATGCGGAATCCTTGTAGGTTTGAACCGAAATGCATTATAGTTGTGTTTTAACAACCGCTCGTTAGAAGACTGAAATGGGTACATACTTTTGACTATATTTTGTGGTCTTTACGTCAAGGTCATTTTAATCATTGTAAACGGCTTAAAAATAGCCAGACAGTCCCAAAAAAGAGGTAAACGTTTTACTATTATTTAATTTGCAGTATAATAATAGATGTGTTTTACAGGTTATTAGGATACGAATGAAAGATAACAAATGCAAGATATTACTAGATAAATTCAATTTAAAAAATACTAGTAAGTATAAAAACGAAGTAATTTTTATTAGTTTAAGTCAAACTTAATTGAATTATGTTGGATTGCTCTTTATATCTGTAACATTAAATAGTAATCATTTTTTTTACAAATCAACAAAAAGCTATCAATAGAAACCTATTTTAAAATAGGCAAGATCTTAAGATGTGTAGCCATAGCTGAACAGAGTTTGGAGCAAGGTTCTATGCAAGTTAGGCAGTATCTAAGTACCGGTTTGTTACTAAACTTGGTGACATGCAGGCCACATAATATCAAAATAGTATAGTACCCACCTGGTATTTAAGTAATTTGTTCTAATCCTGACTAATATATAAAATACGAAAGTGACTCTACCGTCTGTCCTACCTTTAATTGTAAAGGTATAAATTGGAACTTAAAACGATTAAGGATTTTTTAGTCCTAATCCTAAACAAATTTAAATCGTATCAATAAATGAATGTTATGTTTTTTTACAAATCTACTGACGGACTAGGTCGTATAATTTTATCCTTGTCTAACCAACAGCAATATAAAAAAACTTGTTGTGAACTCGAGACAAACTCGAGACATAGTTCACGTATTTGGATCTAAGACTTGTTTTTCGTTTAAGGATAAAATGGCATGTACTTACTTAATTAAAATATGTATTGGGTTTGACTACAATTAACTGAGCAACTACGTATACGGCAGTTAAGTCATAGAACATGCAAAACACATTAATGTCGTAAACACCATATAAATTATTTGTTTTCTAAGAATGCTATGACCTTACTAACCAATTAGATAGGTAGCGTCATTGGTTGTTTATAATTAAGCGATATTTATTGGTCATTGATTAACATTTTTTTAAAAGATACCTTACTACTGTTGTTGAAGAAACAAGAGTTATTCGACTTTTTAAATAATTTAACTATCTGATATGGTTAGAGTAAACTCAGAATAAATTATTCTATTCGCTTAATTTGTTTGACTGCTAACAGCTTACGTAGTTCTTAGTGAAATATTATTTTACCAGGCTTCCTGTTTAAATATTTACCAATTAAAAATAATGGCTGTTTAACCAAGGTCCACAGGCAGTAGATTTTCTTCTGTCCTTACAGAAATTAAAAATTAAAAATCCTTTATGACTAACAGCATCTTTACTTTACCCTTCCTTTTTAACCCTAGTTATTACGTAATTAGTAACTATAATTTTTAGTCTTACATTCGATGAAATTGACTTCATGTTTTTTCCTTGTATATAGATAGACTTGCCCTTTATGAACCGGAAAAATTACGACGGAAAATTGTACCTGTCTAATAAATACAGATTGTACATACATAATTATGTTGTGCTTAGCACAATGTGCCTTGGCAGCATCCTATGTCGTAAAGCTTCTACAATATCGTCCTTGACGTCCTTAACAGCTAATTGGTAGCTCAAAGGTCTTTATACCACTAGATCAGTGAATTATTAGAATCTTGTGGAACCAAGCAAGTTGCACCTTCTTATTATAACCATTACCGATGTTTTTTGTATGGAGTTTGTCAGACTTTTGACGTTTGTTAAAGTTAAAGAAAGTGCAACCCAGCCTATATGTAGGANGTGTAGGATTGTCAAGTCTTTATAATAGAAACAAGTTTTTGCACTGTATAAATAGATTTGTAAGCACGTGCAATTGGCTAGGAAAGATGTAAGGGGAGGAACCTATACTTACTATAAAGTTGCATCATTGAAAAATATTACAGACATCAGGCATTTGAGTAGCCTCTGCTCTAAGAGGGGAGAAATGGAGCGTAATGCCACTTAACAACTACTTTATGTAGGAGACAATGCCGCAAATGTACGTTCGCCCTCGAAGCTACGGTAGAGCAATTTATTCCTCATCCCATGCGTCGCTAACTGTTGCGCGTTAGCTGGAACATGTGTCTCTGAGGTGTTAAGTTACGGTATGAGCCTTGCGTACATATAAGAAGAAGAGGGGTGGAGTTATAGTAGGGAATTTAGTGCAAGAACCCCTCCACTTTGGTATAGAAGGCTCATTTTTGCAACAGTGGTTCTTTGGGTGCTCCTGAGTGGATTTCCGTCGGTAGACATCGGGAGCCCCCCCTGTGGTAGCAGGGGGAGGGGGGGGGGCAAGTTTCCTTCCGCCGCGCTTCACTTTAAGGCCCATATCTTCAAAACTATGGGTATTAGGGCAAGCGTGGTGTCATTTTCAGATAATTAAAGGATGGCGAATTCATTTCTAGAACAAACTTTTTGCCTTTTCATACAAAAAAATAGAAATATTGAACAAAATTCACAAAAACCAAAAAGTACTTTTTTAAATTAACGTCGTTTACTTTTAAACCACTGGAGATAATGTAATAAAAAAAATATGACCTGAAAGCTACATTTATCAGGATTATAAAAATATACCATTGTATGGCACTTTTTTCGCAAAAACTAGGTGAAAAAAATTTTTTCTTCAGGACACAGCGGGCGAATTTTATTGCGCATCGGAATTTTTTTTTATTTTATCCATGAATTCATACTATTTGGTTCATAAGCAAGCAAGGATTTATTATTTTAGAATTTATTTAGAGTTGCTGGCAGATCAATCTACCATGATTTGTATTTTTTTGTCAATTGATTTTGAACTCTATGTGTGAGACATAAGGTTGAAAATAGCTTAAATACATTTTAATATTGAAAATATCATAAGAAGAAAGCACATAAATAATTATAGTTCTTTATTTAACTTTAATTTGTGAGTATTATAATTTTAATTTACACTTATTTCTACATACTATTGTACCAGGATTTAACGGAAAGGTAAGTGTGAGGAAAATGAGGATTCACAATCATAGTACGGGGAGATATTTTTTGTTTTAGTTGTTTTTTTCAGACAGCACCAGCTTCTGCACTACTTCTTGCACTTACATCTCACCATTTCCAGGCAAGCCTCGGCAGCTACGGGCAAACCGGTCCATGTAGGCTCCATGTTGCTATCGACTCTGGTCCACCCCCAACCAGTCGGGCAAAGGGAAGACTGAGTCGGTTGCTTGCAACTAATCCTATACGCAAACCCCTTGGATTGATCTAATAAGTGGATAGATCTTGAACAAGGCAACGACTAGAAAAGAGGAGGGGGGCGGTGTTGGCGGTCCGCCCCGGATGCCAAGCATCAGGGGGTGACACATGTCGCACAGATTAGTACTCACTGGCGCATCTGCATAGCAAGTCTGCGGTCTATGTCATTGTCTTTCAATCTTGGAATCGGTAGGTAGCCCCAAAATCATGGGGGTTACCAAGGGGGTGCCTTAGGACTTACGCCGCCATTGCCAAGATGGCCTTGGGAACGGGAACGGGCGTCTACTGTAAACACTTCGAACCTCAGATCATAGAAAGAGAATAGATATGAAGTCGCGCGTAACTACAACGAGAACCAGTGTCCACACATTTCCCCCACCACAGCTCCCACACACACATTCAACTGTGTACAAACAAAGCGACTGAGAGTCTCCGACAACATGTGCAACCGGCTTAAAAGTNTAAAACATTTGCCATATAAACATTTGCCAAGTAAAATTTTGCCAAATGATAATTTGACCAAATGAATTAGTTGCGAAAAGTACAGTTGCTAAAAGTTCATTTGGGAAATGAAACTTTGGCGATAAGTTGTTTGCGAAGTGAAATTTGGCGAAAAGTAATTTGGCCAAACGGAAGGATACCGTTTTACAGGTTATTAGGATACGAATGAAAAATAACAAATGCAAGATATTACTAGATAAATTCAATTAAAAAAATACTAGTAAGTATAAAAACGAAGTAATTTTTATTAGTTTAAGTCAAACTTTTTTATTTATTTATTTATTTGGGTAAAAAAACAGTATTGAAGTACAGTAGCAAATAAATAGTAATAATATACCAATATTATCTAAACTCACACCAGCATCATTTACCACAGTTTAGATAAAACAGTTAATTAAACTTGTGTTGAGAGTGGTTGTAGTAAACACTTATTACGTAGGTACAGGCGGTAGCACATCGAAGGAGACACTGTGGCATCTTCTGCGGCTGTCTAAATGCCATTTTGCGGCAAAAATCCCATGTAGACAACCACATCCATCATACCAACAAATATTTAAATGATGTTCTGCAACAAAAATGTATAGTCCGATGTGCCATCGCACTGACTGCATTTTTGATTTTTTTTTTTTCTTTAATATTAATTTAAGTATTTAGGTTAGTAACAACAGAGTGTAGGCATATTAACAGATTCAGGTAAGTATAGTGAGAATTATTTAGTACCTAGTTATTTAATTTTTAGCGTTAAGAGNGGAGTGAAACCGGTCGGTGAGCAGTCTTTAATACATCAGTTATTTGGAGGAGCAGAAAGACAATCACAGAAACATAAATTATATGAGATCATTGTAGAAAGTATAGATAAATCTTTTAAGCTCAACATGACCACACTGACTGAAAAGAAAATTTGTGGAACGATACCAGCAGCCAGTCGTGAGTTGAGTGCGCAAGTAAAACAGTGGAACATTGCCTTGGGGGACATCGAAAGTTGCAAAGACATACATTTATTAATTGGGGCAGATTATGCTAATTACATTATGACCGGAACGTTTTTGAATGTTACAGATGGGTTAGTAGCCATAAAGACAAAACTTGGATGGACTTTGCAAGGCAAAGTAGATGGCCAGAAGGACCCACGGGTGTGTACGTTGTTTTCGAAAGCGGAACTAGACATTGCCGATCTATGGAATTTAGAGGCAATCGGTATACTTGACAAGCCTAGAGACGGAACAGATGAGGTAATAGAAAGTTTCAGGCAAAATTTGATTGTTAACAGCGAAGGAAGATATGAGACTACTTTACCATGGAAGCATGATCGAACTATACTGTCATCAAATAAAGATTTAGCAGAGAAGCGACTATTTTCTACAACGAAAAGATTAAAGGCTATCGGCAAAATTACGGATTACGACAACGCGTTTCAAGAATGGCTGAAATTAGGTATTATTGAAGAAGTTGAACCTGACGACGGACAGGGACATTATTTAGCACATCATGCCGTTATAAAGGAGTCAAGCCTTACTACCAAAACAAGACCTGTATTCGATGCTTCAGCAAAAGGTAAAAATAAATACTCATTGAACGCTTGTCTAGAGAAGGGAGTTAATTTGATTGAGCTGATACCAACGTTATTGACACGTTTTAGAATGAACGCTGTCGGTATTTCTGCAGATATTGCGAAAGCATTTTTACAAATATCTTTGAAGGAGAGTGACAGGACATATTTGAAGTTTCTGTGGTGGAAAGACTCGGAATTGAAAGAGATCATTACATACAGACACTGTAGAGTTGTATTTGGTCTAACATGCAGCCCTTTCTTATTAGCGGGAACAATAAAACACCACCTGGAAAATTACAATGGACCATGGAAGGAGACAGCTGAGAGGTTATTGTACTCTTTTTACACAGATAATTGTGTAACTAGTTTAGAGGAAGAAGAAGTGCCTAAGTTTGTTTCAGAAGCTCGTGAAATTATGGCCATGGGAAAGTTTGATTTGAGGGGGTGGGTAACTGCACCAAATTCAGAATCAGTTCCAGATTATGAAGAGGTATCTGTATTGGGATTAAACTGGAATACAAAAGACGACGTGTTAACCTGCAAAGTAGAGAGTCTGAATACAATGAAACAAGGGAATATTACTAAACGCAGTCTATTGTCTATCGCGCATCGGGTTTTTGATCCAATAGGATTTATGGCACCCACGACTTTGATCCCGAAGCTCATATTACAACGAGCGTGGCTAACCCATAAACGTCATGATTGGGATGATGAGCTACCGGAAAGTTTGACCACAGAGTTTGAGAATTGGCAAAAAGAAGTAGCTGAGTTAAATAACGTCAAAATCCCGAGACGTTTATCTAGTCTGCGTCTAATGGACGGCAAAAGAAGTTTGCATATATTTTGCGATGCAAGCATGAACGCATATGCAACTTGCATTTTTATGCGAACTGAAAAGGATGACGTCGTGAACGTGAGCTTGGTACTAGCAAAAGCAAGAGTTGCACCTAGCAAACAACAAGTCACAATACCGCGCTTGGAATTGTTAGCGGCGGTCATCGGCACCAGGTTGAGTAGGCTAGTTCAAGACGCGCACTGTCTTGAATTCGAAAGGGTAATTTGACGGTGTTAGGGGAATTCTAGGAATAAATGCAGAGCCTCCTCATTGAGATTGAGACATTTCAATTTGAGATTTCACTTGACATTGATTGCAATCTGACATGGAGTTTTCAAACACTTGTAAAAATAAAAAGTAATTAAATCAAAAGCAGTAAGTATCTAGTATTGATATCAACTTCGAAGCAAATGACTCCCAAAATAACTTTCTACCCCTTCTACACGTTTGTCATGAATTATAATATTAAGGAATTGTTAAGCAAAATTTCAAGTAGATTGAACCAAAAAATCTACCTGTATGCAAAAAGTACCTGGATGCAAGCGGCGCAGGACCGGTCTTTGTGGAAATCCTTGGGGGAGGCCTTTGTCCAGCAGTGGACGTCTTTCGGCTGAAACGAACGAACGAACGAACCAAAAAATCACTTTGTTCCATACAAACTTTGCCCCCTTTTTTCACCCCCTTCATTTCATGACCCTATTTCGGAAAATCGGATGCCTACGTCATACAAAGAACACACCTTCCAACTTTCAGGTCTCTACGATATCCGTCAGTCATTTAGGACAAAGCATTTTTATTAGTTGTCCAATACTCTATCGTTCCAGGTATGTCATTGACAGGAGGGCGCTACTATCTTAATAATGGGTTATTTATTAGTCCCAACTTTATGCCACGTGGACATTTTAGAATCGTTTGACTTTAGATACCTAAGCGATTTGATATTCGGAGTCTTTTAATGAAAAAAAGTTCTAAAATAACTTGAGGTGTTGTACCCGATCAAGCTTTTCATTGCAGGACAGTTTAATAGTTTTATTATTAGTGCCTTCTTTAAGTCTTGATTTGTCAGAGTAGGTAAAGGCTCCATGAGAGCAAAATTTAGCTTTATAATAATTTTTAATTCTTATCTTGAAATATTTGACGCCTTGTAATCTCTCGTTAATATATGTAGATCCACACAAATAAAGAATGTTTGACTTCGACTTTAATAATTATGCTCTTACGTACCTAATTATAAATAAACTAGCTTTCCGCCCGCCGCTCCGTCCGCGTTGAATTTTTCGGTTTTTATATAACCTATTACACTCAGATATAATGTGGCTTTCTATTGGTGAAAGATTTTTTTAAATCGGTTCAGTAGATCCCAAGATTACCCCTTACAATTTAACAAATATACAAACACACAAACTTTACCTCTTTATAAATTAGATAAAGATAGGTAATTTGAAACTCTATTTTGCTTAATTCTTTTTTTTATTTTGAATATTTCACAATCCAAACTAATTTACTGTAAGTAAATGCTAAATAGTAAATATGTTTTTATGTTCCTGGTCAGGCTATATATATTAAAATCCCATCAAAAACAATACTTGTCAAAAAAACCAAGTCTCGCAACTCAGTTCTTCTACGGTAAAAAGTTGTGAGATCCATGTAATACCAAGTCCAGGCCAGGAAATCTTTAACGTTTTAGGGTATTTCTCCGGAGGCAAAATTTTCGATGTCTTTGGGTATAGTTCTGTAACCAACTAACAAAATGGCATGCAATTTTTTTTTTNCATAACCCTTTCATCGAGATAGCAACAGTGTTAAACGCTTCCTATCATTATTATACACACTGGAATACTGCCTTTACGCTACTTGCGTCGATGACTGATTGACTGTAATATTGCCCACCCACGGTGTACGGAATTTGTTGCCAATTATTGATCTAATTCAATATTCTGGTCTGTACTTCATACCTCATCGTGGTGTTACTCGTACAGCTCCACTCAATTGTAGATCTAAACTTGTCTTAGCGTTGTCTCAATCTTCAAGTCACCTATTGATGTCTCTTTCTTGGCTCGCATTGCCTTTTGTTTTTATTTGTTTAAAGAGGTTGAGGCCATAGGCCTAGGTATGCAATACAAGGGGTTTACGTACTTAGTTGTACTTATTCATACATTTTTGCTTAGGTATAAGCATGGCATGCGTCTCCTTACCACCTTGGTACATGTGTGACATAGATGAAGCCATTTACATACAATAAACACTCAAGAACTTTTTTTTATATTTTTTTTTAATATTAACTAGGACCATAGAAGGTTCGTCACTGTCAATATTAGTTTCATTGATTTGCAAGATTACCAAAGCCTTATTATAGGTCGACTATACTGCAGAATTTAATTTGCTCAGCAGTAAACAGAACTCTTTGATCTGAAAATTAGCAATCAGGCTCGGAGTCTAGATGGTGCGCTGTATAACCCACTTTCCACTGCATTAAGGCATGGCTAAGTGAATGTGCTAATTTGTTACTGGGATTCGAACTGCTCTCGTATTTTGAATTTATGGCCACTAGCCAATTCACAAAGATTTCAAAGTTTCATTTCTCAACATTGTCTGATACAAATACGCAATACAAAAACGTCTTCAAAATGTAAGAGATAAGATACCTCAATACTCCTCAAAACAATGCCCAAGAAATATTGTTCAAAACTTGTTAGTTTGTTATGAACTTCGAACTAAACTTGTTCTCATTATTGCTTAACATTAAACTAATTGGGCGTTTATTCGAAATCTAGTTCACTCTGAAACAAAAAGCGAAATCTCAGTCGAAAGTTTCAAAAGGGTAACCTTCGATCCGAGAACAGTTTGATTGGCATTGTGTTGGATCGGCGCCATGACATTGGTTCTTAGCATCATTGTTGCAAGTGCAACCTTTGAGTTTTTACGCATCGGTCTTGGGTAATTGCAGTTCGGCAACGCGATGCGGATGCACATCCTTCCATATCGTGATGAGTAACGGCCCATGAATGTTGCTCAGAGAAGAGAATAAGTATGTTTATTATACTTCATACTTACACGGAGTTACACGTGGTTTTCGCGAGACTCAGTAACTCTGGCATAGATCTTTGCGTTTTAGTTAGTTTTTTGCACATCCTTTTTATCGTGCTGAGTACAGCAACTCTTGAATGTTGGTCAAAGAAGAGAATAATGGTATACTTATTCCTATTTTTATACGTCAAGGCGCCTGTACGTGTATTTATTTGCACGAGACTATACAGAAGCTAGCGATGGATAGGATGACTTTTGTGATCATCATTATCATGCCTTCGCTGCAGAAGCACGTTTCTTGAGTCATCAGTAACTTCAGTGCAATTCTTTGCGTATTGGCAGGCCTGGCTCACTCCGCGCGGTACATCCGATAATTACCTACAGCGAAGCGCCCCGCCGGCGGGTATTATATCAGTCGAGTGTCACGCGCGCGCCCGTCGGGACTTGATGTTTTGCCTTTAATAAATAATTTCTTTCGAATACAATTTATGATGTTTTAAGAATTTTATCGTTAAAATATTAACTATTACCTTTCCGTGTAGGTAAATGAAACGGAAGAGTAACATCGATACACCAAATTACGACAAGCTAGTTCTTTTACCATAATGCATAGGTACCCCAACAATAATCAGTAAAAAATAAATTGTTGCCAAAGTACAGCGAGTAACATTAGATTAAGTTTGTGCAAAGCCAAATGATTTTCGGGTGACGCCTCTCGTTCTAGGATGTAGCCGTTTCGTGTTTGCGTAGTAAGTAGGTAGGTATGATGTCATTCTTTCTTCTGTGATAGTAGGTATGTTTAATTTATTTGTCTTATGTTAAAATGGGTATGAATGATGACATTGTATTAAAATAAGTACTTTTTTATCCTAAGTAGGTATATTTAAAATGTTATTTTTACAAAGGTAAAATAACACTAATACTTACCTACATACGTACCTCATTACAAATACCTAAGTAGATTAATTCTATTTTTTATAGCATAGCAACCCTAACAGCGTAAGAAGAGTTCAGAGACACGCGATAGAAAGAGACAAAACTTGTAGGTGAATAAAATTGTAGGTACGTAGTACTGTGCGAGCTGAATTACACTGTATCGCGTGGTAGCAAGACTCGCATTTATTTAAATCGTCTTGCGGAGTAATCCTTCTGTACCTGTACTATTACTTATTCTGTGGTATTGGTTAGTTATTGAGTTGTGTTTTGTGACATACCTACCTACTTACATAAATGTATCCAATAAGTATTATCGGTTAATAATTGAGTCGCCACTCGCCATAGTACAAAGTACAAGTTTTGATTAGTTAAGAAGGGCTAGGAAATGGTGATATTGTAGCAAAAAATAATTAAGTGTTGGCAAAGAAACACAAAAGGGAATATCGATACGAATCTGTAATCCAAAAACTTACGTGACGCTCCTCGAATCGTGTGACACGCAATTTTGTTAATGCCTTTAATATAAAAACCGACATAGGGATCCCTTGGGAACGTATTAATTTATCAACTGATTTAATTTACCACGAACGGCCATTTCATTTGTTTCTTAAAGATAGAGAATCACTCAACAAAATAATGATATTTAATTTAAAGGAACAAAAATACAATGTTAAATCCTTGTTTATTTCATTCAAGATTATTGTGATATAAATATATCGGCTATCTTTTAATGGAATCCATAAGCGCTGATTTAAGCTGTTGCTGTTAATCCTCAGCCATCATAATAATGAAAGGTGTGGTTGGTCATGCGGTGGAATCAGCTGACTTATATTTCAAACTAGTTATGAGTATAATTCTGTGGCCTACTTTCTTTGTTGGCAATACTTTAGGAGGTAGGTACTCGATATATCCTGTGACGCCATTTATCAAATCTGTAAGTCATTTTTCAGACTACATTTGTTTTTTTTTAATGAGCGGGATTTTCATTTATTCATTTGTTTTCCACTCTTGTTTTCGAAATTAGCACTTACGGGGCATAGAATACATAGCATTCTCCGGCGTAGTGGTGTGAAACCAGCACTCATTTCCTTATCCATGGCACACGGCATCGATCTAACTGTCGTCGTCAGGGCTTCCTCGCGGTTACGCAAGCTCCTTCCAAACACATCTAGTGATGTGTTTAACACTTGACATTTTTAAAAACTAGGCTAGTCTTTTTTATAATCTGATATGAAGAGTCTAATTTCTGTGATTGACACTCAACATCATCTAGGAAAAGCAGCACAAGTTCAAGCTTTTTTCTGGGAAGTGTATGGTTTTGCTAATCATAATAATGATCTCGCTGTCATTTTCTGAATCAGCATAAGACATAAATGTATCATCACAGAATAATGTGTTACCACTTTTCTTTCCTACTGTTGTAACTCTAGTCGATATTTTTAATGTCGAGTAGTTAATGAATATTACGCTAGAATCGACATTCGACAACAACCGTCACTTCTCTAGCGACACGCTATTCTTAACTCAATTATAGGGGAACGATGCACCTATTAAATTCATTATAGAAGATGGTATTGCACTCTAAGTGCGGAACTTTGTCTTTTGCTGGGTCAAAAGCGGATGATGACTTGTAATAAATGTTGTTTTGTTGTGAATAATATCTATTAAAATGTAATTATATGATACTCCAATTTCAATTCTTTAATTTCTTCATAATCGTGAATCGCAACTTTGGTTTTCAAAATGTATAGTTACTACTATAGATAGGTACATAGTAAAGGAGAATGTTATGGTAATCATAGGCGTAGTTGTCCATTATGTGAATATGAAAACGGGAATTATATCAAAACGAATAATAAATAATGAAATATGATGGTTACTGAACGGACAGACGGGAACAGACAACAAAAAAATAGTAAGCACACCATTTACCAAGTTCATATGTACATTGTTTATAGTTTCCGTATCGCATTCATGCGGCCCGAACAATGGTACTTTCGCCTAATTTATCATTTATATGGCCCGGTCAACCCACCAGCTTTATCTCGGTATTTAACTTCGCCGTTCTATTAATTAATTTCTTGTGCACTGACCCAGATATCGCCATTAATTTCTGTCGCCATCAGAATATTGGGGTTTGTGGGCGATGAAATTAAACTTATTGGGGCGTTCGTTGACAGTTTATTGTGGTTTGATGACATTTGCAACATTATTAGTTTTGATAGCCGCCGGGTTTGGTGTATCGCGGAACGGAACAGGTTTGAATTCCATGAGGGACACATAGACGAGGAGTAAGCACGAAACTCTTGATTGATTTAAAGTTCTGTATTTGTAAACGTCAGTAGATATAAATAAATAAATAAATATCCTTGGACATTTTACACTGCGCTTTTCTAGTCCCAAACTAAGCAAAGCTTGTACTATGGGTACTAAACAACGGATATTAACATACTTAAATACTTTTTTTTTTGTAAATACATACATATTATACATAGAAAACACCCAGTCCAATACAAACAAATATGTTCATGCACACAAATGTTTGTACTGTGCGGGAATCGAACCCGCAACCTCCGGAATAGTAGTCCGTTTCGAACCACTACACCAAACGGCCGACAATATGATGAATCACAGCCAGAATCGTAACTTTTCATTTCAGCCAGAAGATTTAAATTACAAATATTTTATAGAGAGGATAGTGTATGTAGCCCCCACTTTAAGGCCACTGGACAACTTCCGAAAGATCACCTCGAGCGTCACTTGTTTCAATGGCGTACCTGCTTCAAAAACGATGCACACATTATGTCAGACGGTCGTTACGTCACGTTATACAATAACAGAACAAAGGTTACACTTCTGCGACTTCCCATGCGTCAACATTGTCAGATTTCTTGCCACTATAATAATACAATTACGGCCGCATAACGCTGTGAACTACTCGAACAGCTGTTATCATTTCTTGTTATGACCGTTCAATGCGATCGTAGCACTCGTAGCGGCTAATGATGTCACTTCCAGTCGCTTATAGCCGCACCTTTTAACTGTAAGATAAATAAATGAACTCGATAAAAGCTTCTCTGAAATAGAAATGTTAATTGGCCTAGTAAATTATACAGTTTATTAGTAAGAAGACGCCATCTACCGTGGCCAAGAACCGAGCTCAATTATAGAGCCCTAGGAGAGACTGTTCCCTAATAATGAGAAAATAGTACACAGAGATAATAGGCTATTTGGAAATACAAACCTGGGCCTGGGTGGCCAATTGTGTTTTATTGAGAAAAATATCTCCTCGAAATAAAATTAATAAAATTAAAGGCTGAAGCAAAGACAAATAACCACAACGATGCTTATTTAATTTCAACAACGTAATCTATATTAATAATTTCGTCAAGGTCTATATTAATAATTTCGTCAAGGGGTACGGTAGACTGGATCGAAACCTTATATGAATAACAAAGCATAAAAAAATATCGATTTTGAGTCGACAACATATATCCGCAAAATTCGGATAATGGAGAATTTCGTTAAATTCCGACGGCACTGACAAACAATTTCAAACAAACCGCTGTCGCCATCTTTAGTAGTTCACTATCCACTCACTATGCGATCAGCGCCAAAACCTTACTACCTCTTTGCTGGGTTGTCATCGATCCATAAATAAATGGAGATCAGTGCGTTTCGCGATTTTTATGATACACTCTTTGTTATGTGTTTTTTCTTTTAACCTTATATTGGCCGATTCAACCACAGAAAAAGAATATTAGCCATAACCATAAAAGTTGAAGTTCAAATGTCAATGTCATTTAGTTTCGCACAGTGATAAATTCCAGTGACATGCAATTTTTGTAATGGCAAAATATTTGTAAGAAACTGCAAACAAATTCAAATGTGCAGTCGATATGTGGAATGCGACAACATTATACTCGGTAAGCGGCTTAATATTTTTTTTATTTAACCCGACAAATAATAATAAATGACCACATGCATAGCCTGTGTTGAGTTGTTATCAACATATACAGAAACAGACACGATTTTTGCACCGTTTTTTCCGATAACGGAATAGTCTCCTTCATGCGCAAGTTCCACTTGAGCTCGGCTGGTTCTTATTATAAATAATTGTGTAATATATTTTTGCAGATAATTTCAATTATTGCGAGTGTTGTGGCTTAGAAACAATTAGGCAGTTAAGAATAAACAAGGCTCGGGCACTATCAAACCTTTTTCCTAAAAAGCAAAAAGCTGCTTCTGCTGCATCACAAGATTTATTTGATGACTTTCAGGTAAGTTAATAGTGTAGGTCACTGAGTAAAGTAAAATAAATATAGAGGTGGGAGGATATATGTGAATCGTTTTAATAAATTGTCATTTTACTTTTTCAATTAAAACTTTTTCAATCCCTAGTCTTGTCTAACTGTTATATAGATGACCCACGCTGAACTGTCCCACCAAACTCAATGACAGGGGGGCGCTACCATCGTTCAACTATATGGTTTCCAACATGGCAAAAATCTGAACCAGCGATCCGGTATTGACGGTGGCGCCCCACTGTCAATGTCATCGACAGGACAGTCCAGTATTTTGGAACTATAATGTCAACAAATATAAATGTCACGTCAGTTGACTCAATTTCAGTCTTCTGTGCGTTTATTGTATTTTTATTTCAATGAAATAGTGCTAAAGGGTTAGTACTAAAAGTGAAAGCCTTTTTTCAGAAAGAAAACCAATGTGGTGCCCTTATTATTCATACTGTTTGAAAGTTACAAGTCAGTGATACAGAGTTACCGACATTATAACTCCGTAGTGATACCATACCAAAGAAGAAGTTTTCCTAAACACTTGTGTTATTTTTATATGTGATCAAATAAAAAGGATTAAGGATATTCTACTGCTCAAATGGAATAACTTATCCCAAGAGACTGAATATAAAAAAAAACCTCTCCATAGAAATTGTATTGTACACCTTTATCTCCGCCATTCGATTATTATTTGGCTCGCCTACGCNACTCAGAATTCTCAGAAACCATTGATTTCGTGTTTGTTTGTAACTGTATTAAATGTATGAAAGCTGGAAATAGTTATAGGTTTTTTGAATAGATTCAGTTCGTTCTTAAACATATTATTGATGCCATTTGCTAGGTCTCATGAAGCACTTTTTCAGTAAGTAACCATTTGTTCGACATCTTGTTTACCTACTATAAGAAATATTCGAGTGAGATCACTTATCGATTATTTTCGTCATCCTTGTTTGTATTAAATTTAATTAAAATACACTAAGGCTGAGATGCACCACCTAACTTTGACCCTAACTGACAATAACCGGTGTTTTATGTTAGACAGATTGTTGACATCCAAAATTTTGATGTCAATGTTAAAGTAAGACGGTGCAACACGGCCTAACAAATGTATCGTAGACAGTACTTTTTATTTTCCTCATAAATCTTTATTTTCTTTGTAAAGCTATCTACAAGCTTTTATTTACTTTGACATCAGGAGTTGTAAAATCTTGCAACTTAAAATTTACGTACTTCCCGTTTTCCCATTGAGCTGAAATTTTGGATGTCTACACAGGCGTGCAAAATTTCGTTTCATTTCGCACTATATAATTTAATTTACACGTGTTTTCATGCGATGGCTAAGTCAATATATTTATGTAAAACGTTAATGATTTCCTGGACTGGACTTGGTATTACATGGATCTCACAACTTTTTACCGTAGAACAATTGAGTAGTGAGACTTGGTTTTTTGACAAGTATTGTTTTTGATGGGTTTGTATTACAGAACGCATGTGTACCTAATGGGATAACTTTTGAAAAACACGATTAGATAATTTAAATTTCAATAGGTAGACAAAATTGATAATCCTTAATTATCAAAAATTTTAGCTTTCTCCAGTAACACTGATATTATTATACTGTGACTCATCAAAGTCACCATTGTCAAAAATATTGACAAATCGCGAACTGTCACGTCCAAAAAACTGACACGCGTCCGTCCTCCGTAAGCGCCACCGCGCGACTGATTGAGATTGTCCAAGCCGTCATGGACGATTTTTTCCACATTTTTTAACATAGTAACTAAATAAGACGCAATATAAAAATTTCATCCGTTAAAAGCCCTCAAGTTATTTCTGAACTTTAGTTTAGTAAAAGATTTAGAATCTCAAATCGCTTATTTTAAAAATAAAACCATAAATAGAAAACGAATAGAGGTAACTTTGGGAATTTATTCTATCGAGTCAACTTCATTAAATCGTGTTTCCATCCGTTAATAGCCCTAGAAAATATCCTCAACTATGCCCAATAAAAATCTTAGCCTTTAATTTTACTGTTTAGTACCTCAAAAATGAAAAATGAAAACCTCATTTTCGCCATTTTCTCTGCTACCCGGCCTTAAGTGCCGCGCGTGTTTTCTATACAAACTGAGGTACTTGCATACAATGATTAAATCTGTCGCCCCGCGCTCCGCGGCGAAGCGCGGCGCAGTGTGATAACCGCCTTAATAAGAGTTATTTACATAACCTATATTAACGATTGAATTTGATTGTTTTGGTAATTTGTCTTAGTTTATTTTGACTGGTGATTTAAAATAAAAATAATTTGTGTAAAAACTTTTGCAGTTTTTATTTACCATATTTATTAAACACAACTAACGAAGCTATATGAATCTATATTTAATATTCTTTGAGAACCGATGACTACAGAAACATCTATCTACATTTTGCACCTAGAATTGTGTATTATGAGTCAAATTTCACCCGAGCGAAGCCGGGTTTTCATCTAGTACTTTCATAATACCCAAATGAAATGCGACAGTTGGCAGCCGAGAAAGGCTCCCATCGTGTTAAATAAATAGAACTTTATGCAAACGCACGCGCTCATTGTTTCTATTTTCTCAGTTCTCACGGAAGTTAACCTTTCCCACCGCAGATAGATTACCATTATTGCGTTCGACTATTTCCAACAACCTGTTTTCATTGTCCGTTACAATGTGGTTTGGAAGATACCGATACGGGAATCAATAATACTAATGACGTTGTTATTAAAATCCGGTGTAGGTGGCAGGACTAGATTTTTTTATAACCATTTTATCAGATTAACATACTCGCACCGACATACCTTGCCTTCTTAGACTAACGTTCCAATTCATATAAATGCCACAAGGGCCACGGAATCCTAAAAATGATGGCAATATCCTTCATATTTTATTCTTATCCTTTTATTGTCCAGAACCGAATGCATTTACGGGGAATGCAATTGATATTCCCGAGTCTAAGGATTACCATAGCAGTTCAGATATTCCCTTTCCAAGGAAATATATTACACGTCCCACAAAACCCAACATATGGCACGTGAGGCAATTTGGCCGTCTACCGCCCGAGGGCACCACAAGGGACTGAAATACTGAATTTGAGTTGTGAATAAAATAAAGGGTAATGTTGACAGATACAGAGGTGCTTGTAGACCAGTGGCACCAGGTCTTAGGGTGTGATGACCAAAGTTAAGCAAACTACGTCGTTTGCGGATGAAGGAAGGCAGAATAAGGCATTATAAAAGTTGTTCCTCTTCCTACTCCTTAAACAGTAGTCAGAGGCCTCAGGGCGGTAGATAACTTGACAATCTGCCGAAGCCGAAGCTTCTTAGCTTACTTACACCCTTCCTCCTTCAGTTCTTATCCGACCTGCGTGGTTTAAGCCGCTCCATCCGCAGTTGGGAAGAGGCTTGGATCCTGTAATGGGACATACTATTTAAAGATTACTTCTTTGACAGATACAATGGTTACCTGCCCGCGGGCGAGAGGGGTCGCCGCCGGAGCAAGTTCGTTTTATACCGACGGCCGGCGGCGAACGGCGTTCGGCGGTCGAAGCACTACGTGGTCAAGACTCCGCACAGCAGCAAGGCGATCCTGGACGCCAGCCAGCACTCAATCTCTTACACACTCAGCCGCAGTCAGGCTGTCATCGTGGAGTACACGGAAGACCCCGATACCGATATGTTCCAGGTGAGTCTTAGTAATAATCAACTTGAAAAAAGTCTGCGAAGATAAACTGCTGCAATCTTACCAACAGCTAACGTTGACACATTTCGGTCTCTTTTCAAAACATTTTCATCATCTTGATCCCAAATCGCTTAAGTTTATTGACGCGTATAGATTCTAGCAAGAAAATGCTCGTGAAAAGAAAGCAGGACACATTATTTTGTTTACAGCTTCAGACGTAAAAGTGTAAGTGCCCCTTTTATCTAATTTACGTTTAGGGATTTTATCTCAGTTTGCGACTTGCGTGTTGCTTAAGAAAAGACAGCAGGGATTTAGTATTTTAGAACACGATGCCGAGTGTACATTTTATACGTGCTCTTTCGCGAAAATAAGAGCTACTAACCCCTCGGGATACTTTACATGCTAAATTAAATGAAAACATAAAACCTTTACATTGCAATCAGTTTTTCATTCTCTGCACTTAAAGCTAGAGTGGAAAGTCTGGCTTGTAGTAAGTAATAACAGCCTTACTTATAAACGTTTATTAAAATTAAGACACAGTTTAACGGTCTATTAAATAATATCTTAACTTAAAAACGATAATTAGTGTTAACCAACGTCTTAGTGACTGCTTAAATAACTGTCAAGTTAAACAGCGTCGGACCCTTGTTTAAAGCCCTAATTACCAAAATGGCGGATCAAAAAGTTAACAGCTGATGCGTGACGTGCCATGCAACGCGCTGTGTTGCTGCGCTGCGCGAAGATACACACAAAAAATAGCATGAAACACATGGCAAAGGTTGGCGCCATGTTGGCGCAAACATAATACAAAGTGAAAGTATAACAATAGATAGACATTACAACGGTTGGTGTTTCTTAATACCTACACAGTTAAAATAATTCAATTGACTAATAATACACCACATGTTACGTCGGCGAAACCCGAAACACTAAAAAGACTTGAGTTAAACATTCCGACAATAAAATCCTAAAGGCTTCCTAAGGGTGCATGTGCGTGAGAAACTAAAATTACCATGCCTTAAAATTGCGCTAAAAACTAACAAAGCATTTACATCTTAAGTTTGTACAAGAAGTATTACAATTATCTAGTGTATATTATTATAATTGGTACATAATTTTAATATGGCGTATGTGGGACATAGTCGCTACAGTACTTTTGTTTGTTTTTGTAGACTTGACAGTTGACTGACAGACAGCGTTTCATTTGACATAACTTTGACGTTTATTATTCTTAATTTTAGCATTGGCTTTCGGCATTTTGGCATTAGAACTGGTCTGAAGTTCGGTTCAGGTGGATTTAAAAAAGAAAAACTCTAATTAACAGTTGATTAGTTAAGTGACGCTTAAGCAGTGTTTATAAGTGAGAAATATTTAATTACTGATTAAGAAGTTAACGAGTCATTAGTTAATTAGTTGCTTAGACGTTGATTAGTTGATTTTTATAAGTAAGGCTGTAAGTCTCTGGCTCTCTGGGCTACAAAGCGATTAAATGGGAAAGTTTTTGTCTGTTTTATTTCCACTCGGTTGAAAGAACCGCACTTAACGTAAGTTAACATGTTCTTTACTTGTAACTTTTGAAATAATTTGTTTCTTTTTCTGTTTCTTACGCCCGTATTCACAAACATTACTATGAGGTCTAACAGTGCGCGTGGACGCACAGGGTGACACACTAACCAATCACAGGGCTCTATTTAACGCTGTGCGTTCGATTTACTGCTTCACTTAAGCAAGCATGGTTTGCATTAGATTATGTAAAACGTGTTTTGGGAAACTACTGCTGTGTACGTGAGAAAATACACGAGACCAACACGTTTTATTCTTAATCGTCATCCGCTTCAGCAATATGGGTTTTCCAAGTGAGACACTCGAGTCTTTGAACTGGCACACAGCATACCACAATGCAGTGTCCATTCGCAGAATTTATTGTATGTAACGTCTGGATTTATGTCCTATTTTTTTGTTTCGAGATACAACTTGCTCATCGAATGCGTCAGCATTCAGAAATGACCATATGTTTATGTCAGTCAGGCAGAACTTACTTGTACCAAGATCTCGGAGAAATTGAGGAGTCAGGAGTATTTAGTTTAACTTCGTACAAACTCCATTAACTTCCAGTGTCGTACACATCTACCAGATTGTCAGTTAAGTTCCTGTTCCCAGAATAGGCTGTCTGAATTCGACCCACATAGATTCCTTTAGCTACGGAAATGTAAACCTAACTTCCAAAGGATCTTCAATTTGTGTTTGCTTCCAACTTGCGTAATGAGCTAGTTTGTTATTTACGAGTAGCAGCTGAAAGATGTAAGCCTTCAAGCGACGGGAACTAAACAAGTTGCAACACAGCAGAGATAGCGTGAATGTATCCCCATGTCGAAATTGTTTCATGACAAACACACTTCGGGTCCCCTTATCTGGTTTCTGTTTAAACTAGTGTTTCGACGATACTCTGTTACACACAAACAATAAACAAAAGCGACGGGAGAGATATGGGCTCGGCCGTACGGCCCCAGTCATGTACGCGTTATTTGTATCCTTTCCAACCCTCGTGGATAAGGATAAAACTAGTTCCAGACAATTGCACATTGATTTCTGCGTGAGAAGGCAGTGGCCTATGAGCTTGCAGTTTGCAAGTAGGTGGCGAAGGCGATTGATGACGGTTGTGTCGATGGTTGCGAAATATCTTAATGGTCTCTTGTTTGATCTTGTTTGAGATGTTATTTTAGGCCACAAACATTTTGTCAGCATAGATTTTTCAGGAAAACCGTTGGTTTTGTGCCAGAACGCGTTATACGATCGCGCGCTAATGGAAATATCAGACAGGCTGTCGAAAATTCGCCGGCCGAAAATGCGTTAACGTAATTCGATTTCCGCGCAGTTCACTTTTATCGGCTCGAGAGGGTGTGTTTATAGGTTTAAAGTTGATATTGTGCGCAATGTGGCGTTGTTTACGCGTCTGGTATCTTCGTCCCCGGTATCTAATCGCACATGGGTTAGTGCCCCCCGGAGCGAGAACAATGCGTTGGTCCCTAGTCCTGCCGCATCGACACGTGGAGACAACGACCCTGCCTCTAAACACCAAGTAAATAAACACAACGTCATCGTTGAACGTATTTTCCGTCTCATACAATTTCCGTGCTTCTTATTTAGACTAGCGTGGGCACTAGTGGGCAGACTCGCTAACATTACGAATGTTTTTAAAAATTCATAGAATATTATTCGCCAGAAATTCATTGGTGGACTGGCTACGGCGTCTGATTTTATTTTTTACACAGAGAAAAGTCGTTAAAATAATTTCTAAAATATTACCATTCATTGTTTTAATAACTAAGCTATTAGCTTAATTAAACCGAGTACATTATTACATATCTCATTTATCATGGACATAAAAGTTGCTGCCCACTATTCTATTAATGCATTAATTTTAAAATTAAAATTAATTAAATATTGTTGATAGTATTGTAGACCTACTTAAACTAACGATGTTTGTTTATGAAATTATCAGACTACAATAAATCATTAGTATCACAGCAATTCAATAATATTGACAATTATAACGCATCGTCTCGAAGAAAACACTACGCAATCTCGCTCTTAAGTCCTCTAATCGAGGATAACACGATATGGGGCGTATACAACAACGCAGCAGACAGAGTAACATCGAGTGCCTTTGTCTGGTACTGCGCGTCAAGTTTCAGGACATTGTTTAATGAATGCGCGGCTTAATTCCTATGGGACGGCAAAGTTCGTTGTCGCCGGTCGACGCACCGCTCCACATCCTGTACGCTTTCATTGTTACCACTTACGCGGCCACTTGCCGCAACCCGCAACTGCACTTAAATGATGCCATAAACACAAATAAATATTTATTCACTCATAACATTAACCCAGCGGAACCGGCGACCTGGCATTAGCATTGCTTGCTGCGTCACGAGGAGTTTGAGTAAACAATCGGACATTGACGGTCTTCATTCATTTGCACTCTCCAAACCTATATCTTTGTTCAGTCGACAGTCTATCAGACTGTACATTCCATTTGCAAACTGGCATCTATTTACAGCTACATAAGATACCACATTTTTAGAATTTGATGTCTGATGTCTGTCTGTAAAATCGCAATCGTCTACGTTTTTGCGTCTTCTTCCACAATCGGGCATCCTACTTATCAGTTATCAGTATGTTAACACACGATAGCCATTGCGAAATCAACACGAATTCCTTTGTTTTGCTATGATACTGCGTTTTAATTAGTTAGGGCCCATTTAAACGTTTAATTCCTCAAGCGGAAGTACGTGCCTACATTACATTCGGCCTCGGTTATTGACTTTAGATGTAGGCCAGTGTTAGATATGCGAACTTATTATTTGACTTGAATGGTGTGCGATGGCGTCTCTTAGTTGATGAATGGGGCACCGCCTTCGCAATCTGGGACGAATTCCGACCCATTGACCAGAAAGCGTTATTTGTTATCGTTTGCGAGTCGCGATACTCTAATTGCATTTGAGATAATATTGTACGTTTGACCTACTTATGTTAAAACGTTTTGTTGGAGTTGAGCTAAATGCAGTTCGATGTAAATCTATTTCATTTACCCTCATTTATGCACTTGATCATTCTACCAAGAGTCCAAGATGTTAAAATGTAAACCACTATTTCTTCTGTTAAATATACACCTACCCACTTGCCAAAATAGTAGAGCTCCTGCTCAAAATTATGAACTTTTTATGTATTAATAATTTACTACTACTACTCTACTCCATGAACTAGGAATTGCTGTCAAATAAGCTTTAGCCCTTAAAAGATACGGTAGAATTTACTGGTAATTTAGAACGAGCAAAGTTAGATCTCCCAATGAAGTACGTCTGCGAAGTATGAACGCCGATAACTTGGTGTTCAATGGAGGTAGATTGCTTCTTTGTAAACGAAATCGCTGCTATTAAAGCACCGAATGGAATTTACGAGCATGATTGGAGCATTCATATTGCGATACGAGCATATTATTATTT